GAAGTCTGTATCTAGCTTCAACCTTTACTGTTACTGGTATAATAAACCTGAGGCCTTGCTTCTTAACTTGCACTCAAAGGTCTGGGCCCATCTCTAATTTAAAATCTTTTAAAACTTTACAAATAAATTCTGAAATGGTTTTACTGGACTTTGAACTTCTGACAGGTAACTTTTTTTTTCTATAACTTTTATATTAAAAAAATAAATATTTTTTAAAATTAATTTTATTTTTCAAAAAAAATTTTCTTTTAATGTTGAGGTCACAGTTTGTGCACACAAATGTTATCCTAGGTTTAGGAGCCTACTAGCCTTTTAAGAACTTGTGTGTCTTTTAATTAAAATATATAAGAAAAGAGGATTTCCCTTTCTGAGCTTGCTGAAACTCTGTATCTGATCTGGCACCTTCCTCATCTGCAAGAAAAAATATAAATTTTTGTTTCATTTTTTAAGACATGTGCTTTGCTTACTTGCTAGAGAAGCAATAACCACTGCCGTAATCTGCTTGTGACATTCGTACGATTATGGAAGGAAGGAAGGGAAGGAAGTCAGTTCCATGGAAAATTAACAGCTGTACCACCAAAATTTCTTGTCTGTCTGGAAAAGAATATTGTATTATTTAAAAGCAGATCTGTGTGGGATTTGCATTACAATCTACAAAAGACAAAAGCAAAACTGTTCCAGGAACTTGAACAGTTTCTTGCAGATGTTTAGATTCCTGAAGTTCTCATTTGAAATGCTAAGTTTTCCTTTTGAAGAAAGATGCTGCAAAATGTTAAGAGGCCTAATAAAGTCAGTGAAAAGACCAACCATGACCTGAGCTTGTATCTTTTGAATTTGCTGTTACAACTTCTAGGAGTGTCTCCCTACCGCTTAACCGGGGGGCGATGGCCGGCACTCCCTCCTGCAGGGGTCGCGCTGTGAGGAGCTGCTGCAAGCCCAGGTCTGTGCCGCGGGAACACAGGCAGGTTTACAGCTTGCAATCAGCTCCAGCTCCTCAGGCCCGGCGGCTGGTCTAGCGAGCAGGCTGACCTCTCCACCAAAAATTACAACGGCTAAAGTGACTTTTGAAATCAATGTAATTTAATTATGCTTATAAATGAGGCTCTTCACACAACAAGATTATTCAAAATGAAGGAAATGGCTATCTTTTAAGTGCTTTCAAAAAACCAATAATTCACAACAATCTTCTTTCTTCTCTACAAATCCCATTATTTAAAAACTGCAGTTCAGATCTGAAAACTCTGACGAGTAAATTTCCCATACCAAATACAGGCTGAACTGGCAACTTGTGGCATTTGTTCCAGTTAGAGTCAGCAAAACCAGGCCATTTTATAATTACAGATCCTGACTGTTGCTATTGCTAATTAATGCATTTAGATGCTCAGCCATTCTTACTGAAGGAGAGACAAGAATGGGTTTTAGAGCTTTTTAATTTATTACAGGAGTCCTCAAATAGCCGGGGGAAGTGCTTACAGGTACAAATATGCTTAAGTGAACAAATACGGACTCAACAAAAATACTTTAATCCTCATAAACGTTCAGAAAAAAAATCAAGCATTATTATACAAATTCAGAAGGACCTATCACATTTATCTTTTAAGTGAGCTTGTATTTAAGGTCAGTATCACTCAGGAACTTTTCTTTGAGTCCAAGTCTAATCTCTTCAGCTAGTTAGCATACTGAGCTTGGACAGTACATTGTTTTCCAGTATCACAAGTGGATAATACTGTACATATCCAAGTAGCAGCCACAAAGTGGTTTAATTTTCTAAGGTCTATTTTTTTCCACTGAAGGTGCACTATTGAAACAACAAATGTATTTAAGGAAGTAATTATAGTGTAACTGTCAAATTACAGCTTCTCCCATTTCATTGTTGTAATTGTGTGGCCTGAAGTTAAAAACCAGAATCACTATAGATCTGTTCAAAATGTCCTGCTTTTCAAGACAGAATTCCATAACTGAGTAAAATGGTTATTCTGTAAAACTATACTTCCTCACTCCACGGTTCAAAACACTGTATCATCACCTAACAAAATCCCACCCTAACACAGAGCATTCAGGATTAGTTGTTGGTGCTGGAAATTTTTACACGTTTCACAACAAATGTTACCCTAAATTGCTGAACCAGCGTAAGGGGATCAATGCTGCTCCCAGGCACCGACCACTCTCCCCATCAAAACAGAACAGCAATAAAAGCTGAATAGGAAGTTTCCATCTGGAAAGGAACCAGCCACTGAATTAAAAGGACCATTCTGTGCAAAAAGATGCTTTCTTAATTTTAACCCCTGGCCCCAGCTTCACTGGAGGAGCACCTTCCCCGTTTTTACTATGATCTACATATGAAATGTGCTTTCACTTTGCTTTTATCTACTATTGCAATAGCTGAGCCTGCAGTTGGCAGTTTATAGAGATGCAGAAAAATATTATCCAACACTGAAGTCCTGTGTTCCGGAGCTGGAAGGTGGCAACATGTGCACAAGATCACTTCCAACACAAGCTGACACTCGGTGTATTTCCCAATTTGCATAGTATAATACCACACATCTTGCAGAACTAGTGAACCTTGTTGAAAGCTGGATTATACCTAAATACACATTGAGAGTTATTTAACCTCTTCCGTGTCAACTGCCCTATGTTATTTGTATTTATTAGCAGAATTTAGGGCGTTTAATATCACAGCATCTGGCTAAAATAGCTGTAGAGCTGCTAGTTAAAAAGTTGAGGGGTTTATTAGCTTTGTTCTTGCCTGTGAAGAGATGGGTAGTTGCTGATGCTGCATGTTTGGGAACACAAGGACTTGGGAGTTCTCGTTTAAAAACCAATCAATGAAGCCCGGCCAACACAAAAAACTGCAAAGTACACTTTTCACTCCAGTACTGAAACGAGCCCAAGTGTGGCACTTGTACAGGGACAGTTAATTCACTTAAAGACCCAGTATCAAAATTCTGAAGCTTCATTTTCCAGATACTAAACATGGATGAATACAGATGTAGTTTTAAAGTATTTTACTATTTTTGTATGCTAAAGTCACAGAGAGCTCATGGTACTAGGCTAAAGCTATGCTGTATGTAAACTTCAGAAGTTGGAAGGACAAATTGGAGTAGTTTCTGATCATGATGTTTCTCATGAAGAACACTATGGTGTTGTGGCCTCACAAGGATCAGATCTAACTGCTAGTTGCCAGCACCATGTATAACAGATGTCATGTTACCCAGTGGATCCCAACAAACACAACCCAACCTGCTTCTTTAGACTGACCAAGAATTTAATATTTTTATAAGCTTATTTTATTTCTTTGCTGTACAAAGGCAGAAATGCAAACCATTTCAATAAATCACATCAGTAACTACCTAAACACGGTACAGATATATACAAAACGCCCAACTATTTAACTGCAGTGTTGATACTGTAGTTCATGCAGAGCTGGATGCAAACAATGCAAACAGCATCTACACAGTATAAGGCATAACTTATGCTATTTACATCTTGTTCCTTATAGTGAAAGCTTCTGATACACCAGTTCTTTGTTACACTCACATCTGACAATCCTGCTTAGTCATAGTGCAGCCTCAGAACTGAAAAGTGCATTTCTTTATTATATACATTAACATAAGGATTGTGGGTCCTTCTAGAAATAGTTTTTACATCTTCGTTTTTAGAAGCAGTGAATTGCCCATGTTTTCTGTCAATTCAAATATTTCATGAACTAAAAATACCGTTTTCCCAAAGCTCTGTAGATCACATGCAATTATGAAAAAGCTCCTAAAAGCAACTCTAGGAACTGCTGGCTTTTGACTTGGGAAGATAAGATATCCTGTGAAACCACTCAACCAACCCACTGCTGTTTTAGATTTAAAACACTTTGGGACATTCTACATTAGTAGGCTTGCAGATCCAAGTGGCTTTGGAAAAGCTCTATAACACAGGTATTTACATTCTGTATTAGATTTCTGAGTTGTAATTAATCTGTCAGCTCAGGTGGTTTGGTTTTTTCTTCCCCTGTAGATCTCACTTTGAAAGGAAAGAAAAAAAAAAGGAACATGATTACTGTCATTGTAGAAAATACAAATGTGAGTCATTTTGCAAGTGAAATAAAGGAGAAAAAAAAGCCTAAGACTAAAAAGTCAACTCTTCCCTTCAACTACAAAGCAGCACTGCCAAAAATAAGTTATCTTTTGTGCTCTGAGCCACTGCAATTCCCGCCACGTTTATTTTTGAACCACAACATCCTGCAGCACTGGGGCTCTTGAGACTATATTCCAGCCCATATCGTTTTAGGAGATCAAAATACTACATGCCCTCTTCTGTCTGCGCTCCCCTCTGCAGCGTGGTGGCGAGCAGGAGCAGCACACTGTGCTCCGGGGGCAGCCCGACGGACCTCCTGCTGCTGTCACCTAACACAACACACACTTCTCACTTTCCTACACTCCCGTGCATCTTGGCCCACAAACTCTGCCCAGAAAATTATACTTGTTCAGTACAGTTCTCAATTTTATCAGGATGGTATGGCCATCTTTCAAAAAAAAAGTTACATGGGGATAAAAATGTTAACGAGAGACATTACCTTCATCAAGAGGAAATGATAACTCAGTTTCAGATTTATTTTTAAACCACAACATCCTGCAGCACTAGGGCTCTCGAGGCTATATTCCAGCCCATGTCGTTTTAGGAGATCAAAATACTACATCCCCTCTTCTGTCTGCGCTCCACTCTGCAGCGTGGTGGTGAGCAGGAGCAGCACACTGCGCTCCGGGGGCAGCTCACCTTGTGGAGCTGCAGGCACTCCCCCCGCGGCAAAGGGCCCTGCGGGGTGTGCGTGTGCCCGACGGACCTCCTGCTGCTGTCACCTAACACAACACACACTTCTCACTTTCCTACACTCCCGTGCATCTTGGCCCACAAACTCTGCCCAGAAAATTATACTTGTTCAGTACAGTTCTCAATTTTATCAGGATGGTATGGCCATCTTTCAAAAAAAAAGTTACATGGGGATAAAAATGTTAACGAGAGACATTACCTTCATCAAGAGGAAATGATAACTCAGTTTCAGAAGTGACAGCATCCATATCTTCAAAAGTTTTGGCACTTGGCTTCTCTTGTTCCACCTCACACAGATACACATCGATGGGTCCTTTTGTGCTCTTCACATGTACTTCTATGCAATCCTATAAAACAGCAACTTGCATGTGAACCCAAGAACAAACCTTACACATCACTTATCTGGTTTTCCACACATTTTAAAGCCAGAAGATTGAGAACACAACAAATACTGTAATGACATAACTATTTAAATAGTGTTACTCGTTCTACAAAAATTATGACTATTACATAGATTTATAGGCAAATTATTAAGCATCACTAAGCGAACAAGGTTTCATCTTTGATGAACTTGCACTTAAACCTTTGTTTAGTCTTTTTACTGACCTTTACTACATGCTTACCAGGAGTAACAATTTAAAACTTGACAAGTCAATGCCATAGATCAGAAAATAAATCAGAACACAGAGCAGCATTAATGATATGACAAAGCAAATAAATGGTATTACTTCCATGGCCTTCCTTTAGCAGACATCACATTGCAAGGCACAGAGCAAATAAAATTTAATGAGCAATGGAGAAAGGATTCTGTTCTCTCTAAAATACATTTTTTTTAAAAAATCCTGCCTTCTTTTGCTTCAGGAAGGCTCTGGAATCTTATCTTTTTCATCTCCACAGGATGAGGAAGCTCTTTTTCTCAGTGAAACCTCTGGAAAGCTATGCAGTGGATCTAAGTCTTCTGGTTCTATCAATTCCCATCTTTTCCTACGCTGTCATCTCCATTTTTGTGCACACAGCAAGGCCAATGCAATTACTACACAATTAAAAACACTATAGAAGAAGCATATGCAACGGAAAACAGAATTAAAGCTCCATTTGTTATTTTAAGCTTACTTCCAGCATTTTGCCTCTTTGAGAGCCCCACTTTAAACAGTAGGTTCCCAGTACACAGGCCCTGATGCAGGTGCTGAGGGCGAAGCAGTAGCTCCTCTGTGTGACCTAACGGGAGTCTGCTGGTGTTTCATGAGCTGAGGACAGGGCACAGCCCTCGTCTCCAATAAAAACCCATCTTGACATGATCTACTGCAGTGCCAAAATGTTCTCTTTCATCCAAGTATTGTTAGTTACTTTGCATTCCATCATCTCTTTCATCCAAGTATTGTTAGAAAAAAAGAGTATTGTTAGTTACTTTGCATTCCATCCTTTAATAGTATAACAACCATAGCCACCTGCTCATTAAGCAGTAAGAGAGCATTTACATACTGCTAAGACCATTATCAAATCATGCTCATTGCTCTGTTTGGTTAGATTTACTGTTGTTGTACATTTTAGTGTACGAATATTAGCAGCTCTTTGAAAGTTTCATTATCCTAATAAATTATCAAACAAACTTAAAGTGGAAATACATAGCATTTATTACAGCTGTTCCAATCTACCAAAATCAAATAACTGAAGTTCAGACATGTTTACTTTCTCATAGTTTAGGTAAACAGAAAAATACTGAAAAAAGTTTTAGACTGTTATCCCTACCAGCATTGTTTAGTGGAACACAAGAACAATGAAGTACCAATACTTACTACACATGACAAGGAAACCAGAAGTCAATTACTGATTGCTGCTTCAAAAACCAAATTTGAGAACTTTTGTTCCCTTAAGAGAGAAACGAATAAAACTTACTTCTTTAGGAACTGGTATTTCCAATTTGGTTTCCTCTGGAGCTTTGATCGCAATGACAATCTGTCCTTGAAACGCCTGCACGCTGCGGATATCTTGGTACGTGACATAAGCTAGTGTGCACATTGGTTAAGGATTCCCCAGAGTAACTTGCTCACGGGCAGAAGCAGAGAGCATGAGGTTAACATACGCTGCAGCAGAACACCAGCTCAAGAGGACCTGTAAATAGTCCAGCTGAGGCAACTTTGTAAAATTAAGCATTAGCTAACAAGTGGAAAATCTTTTTCCTTTATTTCTAGGAAGGAAATCAAGAGGAGCTGTAAATAGTCCAGCTGAGGCAACTATAATGCTAACTTTGTAAAATTAAGCATTAGCTAACAAGTGGAAAATCTTTTTCCTTTATTTCTAGGAAGGAAAAACTTTTTAAATATCAAATATCTGTTTCTTTAAAACCCAAACACATTGGGTAAGCAATTTTCACAGATGGTGTCCTAAGTCTACAAAGCAGAGGGAATATCACCAGAGGGAAACTCTTTGTTCTGTAGTAACTATGCACATAATTCTATAGTTTTCCAGGAAATTATTTCTTTTCTTAACCAGAAGAGGTAAGGTGTAATGTAAAGTTTTCCTGACATTATGCAGAAAACAGGCACATTTCAGTTGAGCAGAGAGCTTAACACCCTGCCAGGCAAGGGAGTCAGCGATATCTTGTTGTGACCCAAAGCCAAAATCCAACATTTATGTCAAGTTCAAAGAAATCCCTTTTCTATTTTCAAAACCCATCTGAAAGACAAGAGTGGAACCTCTCTCAATAGATGAGAGAAATATTAGGACACAAGCAACATACCATTACATCTTCTTGGCAACAGGTCACTGGGACTCTGCTTTGGGTCCTCCTCACCTCACTAAGCAACTCAACCACACCAGTAGGTCAAGACCTGCCCCAGAGGCCACTTTACAATGGAGAGATCACAAAGTGATGGTCATGGTGCTGACTATTGCTCCACTTGCACTCTTCTGCAGTGGAAAGGTCACAGAGGTAGCACTCCCCTGAGAACAGGTTAGACTGCACACAATACTGCAAAGCAGGGCACACAACTCGCACACACTGACACAAAATAACCAAAAAGTTTATTCTTATGAAACTCATTATCAACTATTACTGCATCCCTGTGGTAACAGCCTAAGCTTATTGCTAGATACCCAAGTATTTGCAACTAAAAATCACATGTTAAAGTAAAGCAAGAGTTAAAAGGATATTTTGCATTCTCTTTGTCATCTGTTAGTTCAAATAACTGATGAGCACAATCCTTGATTAATTCATCCAGAGCTTCTTCCATGGCTGACAAGTCAGAAAGTTCATCTTTAAGGTTTTGTTTTTCTGAGGCTTTTCCAAGATTAGAACCTCTAGAAGGATATGAAAGTTTTCTAGTATGTTTATTTAAAGAAGAGCCTGTTTATTGAACACAAAGTATATTAAGAGAAAACAACCAGGAACTCTGGCATCCTTTACTCTGCTAAAATATCCTTGTGTTTCTGCACTTGATAGTTGCTAATATAGGAAGCAATTCAGACAGTCTAAGGATATCAAAGAACTAAAAATATTTTTATCTATTAAAAGTAATTCAATACCCTTAAAAATACTCTCAAAGGTATAAACATTACTCCATGTTGCTGAGTTTTATTGTTTCAGGAATTAGAAGTTTCAAAGTGAACTCACACCCACTGGATAAGATTCTTAGATCTTTTCTGAATTAAGTGAATTCCATCCAACACATTGGTGATGTCATACACTCTTCGTTTCCGTACTCCAAGTGCTGTTGCTACTTCATTTAAATCAAGAACACCGTCTGGAGCTGTTCTGATAAGATCCATGAATTTCCGAGTCAAATAAACCAAGGATGCATCAAATCGAGGCTTTTTGACCTTCAGAGTTCCTGCAAAGTTTAGACAGAATGTCAGAGGTGAACTACTACATGAGTATGAAGCGCTCCTTATTAAAGAAAACAGCAGCAAAGAAGTAACAATGAAGATAAAAGCCTGAAAGCACTGCAGTTATTGACCCTGACATTGCAACGGCATCACACAGTCTATGAACTCCACACACCTTCCAGTGTTTGCAATGACTGTACCCCAACAGCAAGCCTGCAGCTTCATGTTGTCAGTGTTCAGCCTGTCAGTATGGGCAGCAGGAGTTGTGCGACTGTTCTGTCGCACATGACCTCAGACTACCGCATCAACGCCCGTGAACCCTTCAGCTAACTGCAGGCAGTGTCAGGGCACTGCCGGAGAACTGCCGCTCTACCCCCTGCTCCGTGACGCTGTGCAAGTGTTTGCCCACACCCTTTTGGCCCAGATTGACCAGCAGATCTTCCAGATAACATTCAGGCATGGTTCAGGAGTTAGCTTGGTTTCATGGACTGTTTCAGCCTGAACACAACCAATCGCTTCAGAGTACAAGAACCTAACACATGGACAAACTCTGGTTGTAGTACACTTGGCTTCAGGGCAAAAGGATTGATCATGCCATCGTTTAGTTTATTAATGCAACAAAGTTCTAATGATACCAGGATGCCATACGTTTATGAGATCCCTGTGCTGTGTGTGTCCATTACTAGCATATTTGCAGAAACAGCAGAGAAACTACTGAGGAACAGCTTGTTTAACTTCAGACTATTATTTATGTATGCATAAAACATTAAAAAGCACATATTTCTGAGGCACAAAAAAGACATGGTACACTTGGACTCATCTGATGCTAGAGTCAATGAAAGCCTGTCAGATCCTGCTGTCACTTGTCTTTTTTCCTGGAAAGCAAACCAGGTATTTCATATCTGATCAAACCTTGTATCACTGAGTAACATTCCAGTCTAACGCTTCAAGAGAATGTGTGCAAGGGAACATTCTACCTCAAACTTCAATGTTTTCCTCAGGATGAATAAGACACTTACGTTAACCCAAACTGTATCACACCTGCTCCATGACTACAGGACTGTGCACTCTAACATGAAATGACACATTCATTGATTCAGCTTTGGCCTGCGTTACTGTGAGATGTGTGAGACTATTCAGTTGGGGAGAAAGACCAAAATACCAACACAAATTTACTCAAGCTTGTATTTACATTTGTTAACATCAGTTGAAAACCAATGTTTGCCAGCACAATGTTCCAGTGTTCTCTAATTCACTTTACCAGTAGATTGTTTTCTTTATAGCACTGGGAGGATATAATTGCAGCAGATTTAAAGAGAAAAAAACATGAAGAACACATTGCTTCGTATATGTTATTTCATTTAGAGTGCAGCATTCCTCCTGTTCTGCCTATATTAGATACATAACAATTTTTCATTTGTTTACAATTAATTAATTAATTAGCTAACAATTTACTCAGCATTGTAAAAAGGCATGAAATACTTCAAGAAAAATCTTCACACACAGAACACAGCAACTTACTTCTCACAACTGGTACGTCCTTATTCAAATTCAGGTTGATCACTGGTGGCTGGGAAAAGAAAAAATGACTGACATAAAATGTTATCTACACAGGAAGCATCTCCAGAAGAAATCCCCAAATCAACTCTAGATGCTTCAGCCATCAGAGGGATGACAATTCAATACAAATTACTGTGAAGGAGTGTCACTAAATAGAAAGGCTATTCTAGTTCCTGTCAGACTTTTCTGCCCCCAATCTCAGCACATGTCCCTGTCCTGGAGAGCAGGAAATGCCACCAAACTCCCTAATGCTCAGGCAATGCTCACAACACCGATACCTGTATGAACTCAACAAATACCAGCTTCAGCTAATTCGTGTAACAACTCACATACAGAAGATATGCCACTATCATACAGCATTGCAATTACACGTTACAATACAGCTTAATACAACTAGGTGAACCTGCTTTAGCAGGGGGCTGGACTAGATGTCCTCCAGAAGTCCCTTCCACCTCCCATCATTCTGTGATTCTGCAATACAAGACTGGCAGCAGAGTCTGCTCTGGTCAAGACACTGACACAATGAGCCTAAATAAGCACTTCATTCCACACCTCATCCCAAGTTAACACAGGGAGTGTTTTCAAAATCAGACTCATTGCAGCTGGAAGAGACCTCAGAAGGTCTATGGTCCAACCTCCAACTCCAAACATGACAACCATTAGATCAGAGCAGCTTACTCAAGGCTTTATCCAATTTGGTCTTGAAAATTTCAAAAGACGAAGGCTGCACCTCTCTGGGATCCCATTCCACTGCTTGCCCATCCCCACTGGGAAAAAAAAAAAAAATCACTTTATATTCAATTGCAACCTCTTTTGCTTCGTTTCAATTCATGGCTATTTCCTTTCAGCCTCCCATCATGCAGGGTTCTGAAGCGCCTGGTGCCAGCCTCTCCTTCACTTCCTTGCAGGTACTGAAGGGCTACTAGGGCTTAACAAGGTCCTCAGCAGTTTACCAACAGCCTTCTGGTACTGGTGGGCCTAAAATAGAGCATTCCAGGAGCAGCCAATACCAAGTGCCAAGTGCAGAAGAATCACCTCCCTCGATTCAGCAGCTCCAACCCTGCTGGTGCAGCCTAGTGCACCTCGGTGCCAGAGCACAGTGCTGGTGCACATCTAGCCCGCTGTGCAGCAGGACCCCATGTCCTTTCAGCAGGGTGGTCCCCCAGCCTGCACCACTGCAGGGCACAACCCTAGGTGCAGGACTTCACACCACGAGACTTTTCAGCTTCCTGGGTTGCTGTTTATGAGGTGTTTGATGACCCATTCCCCCAGACCATGCCTAGTTGCCTACAGCACCTTCCCCACCCATAAACGTCATGAGGGTGTGTCCTGGTCTGGGGTAGAACAGAGCTGGTTCTGTTCAATGATTTGACTTTTCAAGCTAGAGCTCTTCTAACTAACTTTACTTTCTGAAGCTAACAGCATATTTTCACAAACTGTCTGCTTTTAGCAGTGATAACACTGTGTTTAGAGTTACTGCTAAGGACTGATGTGCAGACCAAGGTCACTGCTAAAGCTTGTGTACCACATGGAGGGGGGCAGAGAGACAAAACCACACCTGCAGGAAGGAGGGAACAAGATAAGTGACCCTAAGATTCACCAGTGGGGTGTTCCATCCCATATCCATCATAACCAGTATAAAATCTGAAGGATCACAAGGGCCAAGCCCTTCTGCTTTCTTTCTCCCCTTTCACAGAAATCACAGAATGTTAGGGGTTGGAAGGGACCTCTGGAGATCCAGACTGGTCTTAAAAGTCTCCAAGGAAGGAGACTCCACAATCTCCCTGGGGAGCCTGTTCCAGTTCTCTGGAACCTTAATAGGAAAGAAGCTCTTCCTCCTGTTGAGGTGGAACTTCCTGTGCTCCAGCTTGTATCCAGGGCACAAGTGAAAACAGGCTGCCCCTTTCTTCTTGACACCCAGTCCTCATATATTTATACACATTAATTAGGTCCCCCCTAAGTCTTCTCCTCTCCAGACTAAAGAGCCCCAGGTCTCTCAGCCTCTCCTCATAAGGCAGGTGTTCCAGTCCCCCAGTCATCCTCATAGCCCTCCCCTGGACTCTCTCCAGTAGATCTCTGTCCCTCTTGAAATGGGGAGCCCAGAACTGGACACAATACTCAACAGGGCAAAGTAGAGGAGGAGGACCTCCCTTGTTCTGCTGGACACACAGAGAGCATCAGTTACAGGTCTAGGGGCAGCCCTAACTGTAAACCTTGATAGGGTGCATCCCATCCTCCTGCTATCAACAGAACAGGTCCCAGGACAGACCTCTGAGGAACTCCACTTGTAATCCACTTTCAGGTAAAGGATGAACCATTACCACTCCTCTTTGAGCCTGACAAACCAACCAGCATTTAATTTTTTTTTTAACTCATCTGGTAGTTTACAATCAGTAACATCTCAACTCAAAGAAGAGGATCCTACAGGAGGCTGTTTCAAAAGTCTTGCTGAAACTAATGTAGGTGACATCAAGGCTTTGGATCTACAGAACTAGAAATTTCCTCACCAAAGGTAATCAGGTTGCAAGCACACTCATGTTGGCTATTCCCAACTGCCTTCTACTTCACATGCCCAGAAACAGTTTCCAAGAGAACGTGCTTCATGATTTTTCCAAGGGACTGAAGTGAGGCTAAGCTGTAGCTGACTTCCACAACCTCTTGAAGATCGTGAGAGCAACCTCACACTGACATCAGTCAGCTGTCTCAGGATGGGTAATGCAAGTGGGTCCTATGGACTTGTTTGGGTTGAGATTTCTCAAGGGACTCCTGACTTGACACTTTTCCAATGCTTGTTACTCCTCTCCTTGAATCCTGCCTCTTAGACACAAAGCTTAGGGGATATCAGTTGTAGATGCAAGAAGGCAAGAGTACTTCAGCCTCACCTATGCCACTCTTCCTAAATCACCTGCCCCATGTAGCAGCAGGTTCACACTCCCCACTGCCTCCTTTACTGTTAATGCAGCAGTAAAATGTTCTTCTTGTCACCTTTGATATTCCTTGCTAGTTTCACCAATAGAATTTTGTCTTTCCCAGCATCATACCTACATACCCAGACATTGTTTTATCCTCCTTTATAGCCTGTCCTTGCTTCCACCTCCTGAAAGTGTACTTTTTGCCCTTCTCAGAATACAGGCATAGCCATGCCCATCCCTCAACATGGCTACTACTTGAGTATCAAGACAGAACATCTCTCTCCTTACAGACCTCCACCTCTTCGGCTCCTCCAACTTACAAAGTTGCCTCCCTTAAAATCTCAACTACCTGTTGCCTGAATAAGCTGGAGTATTGAAGCCAGGGTGAGCTAGAATCCAGGTTCTGTACTCTGCTACTAGCCTTTCTCACTACACTCAGGGTCTTGGAACTCCACTACTCTATGCCCATTACAGCCAATGCTGCTATTGATTACCACCTCCTTGGCTTCCCCATATATGAGAAGGAGATCCAAGAATGAACACCTAAAGAAGCTGTACCCAACACCCTTTGTATCCTACAAACAGTCTCCAAGAATAAGAAATTTTCCACTACCAGTGTAAAAACTAGTGTGAACTTTTTAATGACTTTAAGACAACACTACCAAGCAGTATTTAGCTCAACAGTCAAGGTTAATAAAAACAAGCATTTTTCAGAAGTTTCAGTTTTAAAAGTAGGCCTGTTTTTTGTTAGCTACCTTGTAACATCACTAAAAGTAGTAGTGCAACCTGCATATAAGACCACCTGAATATCACACATGTTCAGGGACCAGAATGCACAGCTGTAATCTGTGTCTCAAACACAGCTACAACATATTTAACTCGGATAAAGGCTATATGTAACAGAAGTAAGAAAATCACCCCTTTGTACTGTGACTAACATCACTACTTTGCTGCATTACTGGATGTGTTCAAGGGATCAAGTCAAGGCATCCAGGTGGGATGGGGCTTTGAGCAGTGAGGAAAGCACCACAACGGTCCTTTCGTGCAGCACTCCGTCAGGGACTGCCGCATCTCTCCGGCTCATGGATCTGCCACCGGGCGGGCGCGAGGTTTTTTAATCTCCTCAGAAGCTCCCGTGGGGGCAGTCGAGCGCCGCAGCGCCGTCCCGCCCTTTCCCCGTCCGCCGGCAGCACCTCCCTCCCCCG